CAGAAAAAGTGCCAAAAAGATAGCATAGAGACAACAGCGCCAACCACAGCCGAGGCCGTCAGGTGGTCCCGACCCCAAAGTTCAGGATCATCATCCATCATCGCATCCGCAAAAAGCAGCGCCAGAGCAGAGCAGAAGCAAGAGCAAAAGCAGCCAAAAAGCACAACCTTCATCCGTCCATCCATCCATTGTGCTTTCCCTCGCACACCCAACATCACCCGAACTTATTCTTCTTCTTCTTATTATTATTTTTTCCCTTGCCCCATCCATTCTCATTTGAGTTCCCATTCTTTTCCATCCTTTCCAACCTACCTCTTCCCCCCTCCTAAGTAGGGCCTCTTCGTCATCTTTGACTTAAGCTCTTCGCAAGTCTTTTACATCATTCTTCCCCTTCCCTCCGACCAAACTTCCGAACTTTCAAACTTCCAAACAACAACCCGCGCCCCCCCTCTACCTCCACCCTTCCCTTCATTCCTCTTCTTCTTCCCTTCTTCTATTCCTTTTTTTAATTTTAACCCTTTGCCTTTGTTCCCCACTTTCCTTCCCTTTCCGCCCCCGAAACCAAACCAAACCAACCTAACCTTTCTCCCCCCCTCCTCCTCCCTCGTCCAATCTGGACCAAGCCGCGGTCCGTCTTATCATTCCGCCTTCTCGGGGCTCTCCTCGCGCCGGTGCACACTCGTTCCTGAGTTGTCCCGGAGTGACGAGACGCCACCTCGCCATTCTGCCGGACCATGGCGTTGGAGGTGCAACCACCCAGCGATCGCAAGCGGGTGAAAGTTTACGAACTCAAAGATAATGACTGGTTTGATCGCGGGACGGGTTTTTGTACAGGGCAGATCCTCGATGTGAGTCCCGGTCGCCGCCCATGTGTCTGGCCGCAGCGCGATCTCCGTCGCCGCTCCTCGGGCGCAAACATTGCGGCTCTCAGGCGCGCGTGCCTCAATTCAGCTGGCTGTCGCTAACACTCTCCTCTCTGTTCCCAGGATGAACCGCGGATATTCGTCGAGTCGGAGGATGAGCCTAATCGTGTGCTCCTGGAGACCAAAATCTCCAAGGATGACGGCTATCAGAAACAACAAGGTCCGCTGCCCCTTACGCCTTTTGCTGCATCGCACGCAGCGAGCGAGATCGCAGAATGCGAGCTGACATTTCCGCGACGTGATCTAGAAACGTTAATAGTATGGACCGAGCCAAATGGGACGGACATGGCGCTGAGTTTCCAGGAAGCGGAAGGGTGCGCTGTGATCTGGTAAGACTTGCACATGCCATCCAGGAGCTTTGCGGCAATGAATCCAATCGATCGCTGACGGCGATATAGGAACTTTGTGACTAGCGTACAGCAGCATCTGTTGAACCTGGCGCCAGGAGGTTCGTCTTTTCCTATTGTTCGCTTACATCGCTGTTCTGGTTGCCGTTGCTGACCAATTTCACGTCTGGTGCTCCAGAAGATGCTCTGTCGGACGAGATCGAAAGCTACCAGTCAATCATGCTGCCTCCACCCGAACTCGGAAACCTGCCGGAAATCGATCATGTTATGAGGGCCGCTAGCATTACCCAGGCCGGACGTGATGCGCTATCGAAATTCGTCATCCGAGAAGAGTACATCCCCAAGCTTATCCCGTTAGTCACGATGGCCGAGGATCTTGAGAGTCTCTCCGATCTACATCGCCTGTGCAATATCATGAAGTCGCTCATCCTTCTCAACGACAACACCATCATCGAGACAGTAGTTACAGATCCTATCATCCTTGGCGTGGTGGGAGCATTGGAATGTGCGTATACTGGTATCCTCCGGACTGACCGTGTTGCTGACGGATTTCAGACGACCCCGAGTTTCCACACCACAAAGCGAACCACCGGCAATACCTTGCAGACAAGTCGCGCTACAAGGAAGTTGTACCTATCAAGGATCCCTTAATTCGCCGCAAAATCAGCTACACATGGCGCTTGCAGTATCTCAAGGATGTGGTCTTGGCTCGCATTCTAGATGACCCGACTTTCTCGGTTCTCAATTCCTTGATCTTCTTCAATCAGGTCGAGATCGTCAACCACATTCAGGCAAATGGACCCTTTTTGAAGGAATTATTTTCGGTCTTCGACCCAAGAAGCGCGGACACCAAACGCAAGGAGGACGCAGTCCAGTTTCTCCACCAATGCGCTGTCATCGCAAAGAATTTGCAGGCGCCGGCGCGTGCCAATCTCTTTGCGAACTTTATCAACCATGGCCTGTTTGCCGTCATTGCTTTCGCCATCAAACACCCCAAACCGGCTCTGCGTACGACTGGAATTGATATTCTAGTGGCACTTCTTGACCACGACCCCGTAATGATGCGTGGCTATATGCTGAAAGCTGTCAACGAGAAGAAGACACCCTTGACCGACACGTTGATTGATTTGCTGCATACCGAGAACGACTTGGGGGTCAAGAACCAACTCGCAGATGCCGTCAAAGTTCTACTGGATCCCCAGATTCCTTTGCAAGATACCATGGGCCGGGCGGGGCCTGAGAATTACAACAAACCGCGTCCGAATATCCTCTCTGATGCCTTTGTTCAGAACCATTTCGATGAATCCGCGAGGCGGTTATTCTGGCCGCTGAAACGACTCGAACATGATGACCACCGTATGTTTTCACAGAAAATTCATCCAGGTATCTGACGATGACTAACTGCCTTGTGATCTCTTTAGTTCGGAACTTAAGCTTCCAGGATGTGGCGCTGTATTCCCATCTTGTTGATATCTTAACGTTCTTTGTCCGCCAACACCTATACCGGAGTCGGAATGTCATTCAAAACGAATCCCTTGCCCCTCGAATCGCTCAATTACTCACGGTACCCCACAAGCACCTTAAGCTGAGTAAGTTGTCCCTGTAACCAGATCATCAGCATGGGAAATATTCTAATAGTGCTGTGTTCTCAGCTGCGTTGAGGTTTTTCCGTGCTTTGACTAGTCTTCAAGACACGTTCTACCAGGCTCTGATGACCCATAACAACATCTTCGGGCTCATTCTGGACATTGTTTATGAGACTATGCCCCGTGATAACCTCCTGAACTCGGCCTGTCTCGAACTATTCGAAGCGATTCGATGCGAGAACATGAAACCGTTTGTTCTCCACGTAGTGGAGAAGTATGGCGAAAAAATCAGAAACATCACCTACGTGGACACATTCCAGAGCTTGATTCTACGCTACGAGCAAATGCAGGGCTACGGTGCTGAACCGGAGTCGACCCTCATGTCGCATGAGGAGGCGATGCCTTCCCGAAGGATGCAAGCCGGCGGCCAGCGTTGGCAAGGTGTTGGGGAGATGGATGCTGCCGAGGAGGAGTATTTCAACACCTCTGATGATGAAGAGGTAAGGCGCTTGATCCAGCAGGGTCTCCTTCCGGAATCGGCTAACCATGGATATCAGTGGCAGCAGGAGAGTAGGCAGACCGCATCAGATGCTGCCCGAATGCAGAATGGCGCTGCGTCGCCCATCGTCAAACCGCTCGTCGATTACCCGGATGATGACGACGAGGACGATGCGATGGACACAAAACCAGAACCCAGCGATGGACAAGCGCCACAGAACCAGGAACAACCGCAGCAAGATGGCCCGGAACATGATGCTGCTGCCGGCTCACCCGCAGACTCGCCGTCCACTCCGGTCTCGACGCCTCAAACGCCACCCGAACGGTTGTCGGAAAAGCGTCGGCGCGAGGAGGAAGACGATGATGAGCTGATGAAGCTCACAGCTGGGCCTAAACGAAGAAGTTCAACCAGCGCCGGCCCCGGCACTGCCGGAATGGTGCGGAGGAAGCGAAGTGTATCGATTGGCTCGCTCTCCGCCAACGACAAGGGGGCAGCGCTGGGGACCCTCAACAGCAGTGCACCACCGAAGAGAATCGCGATCAACCTTAGCTCGGCTACGATCAAGGCGTCTGACCCAGGCTCGACCGATTCTGGAGCTGACCATGCGAGCAACGAGAAAGAAAATCGAGATGACAACCACAGCGGTGATGGTGGCTAATTGGAATCCGCCTCGTCTTGTTTGATGCCTTGATAGCTCTTGTGTCGAGCAACCGTCTTTTACATTTGCTGCAAGCATCGTTCGCGTTTCGTCAGAGTAACAGGATCTTTCCTTGCTTGTTTTTACGACAGCCTCCTAGATACCAGATGAAGTGATGTGTTTTTCTTTTCCCCTGCCCTTGTGAGCCGGACGTATTCTGTTGTACGATCGATCTCATTGTGCTGTTCCTTCTGCATCCTTGCTATTTTCATCTTTCCTTTTAGATATCATGTATTACGGACTCAGCTCTGCGGCGAGATCTTTTCTGTTCCGATTATACCTTAGCCCAACTATCAGATGGGCACGATGTACATCTACTCGCATTCTCTGCCACCTCTTTTCTTTTTTCTTGTCCTGCTCGCTTGTCCGGAGTTTCCGGTGCTGTTGCGGTTCTTCTCACGCATATGATGGGGCGCTTTCAGCCGTACAATCAAGGGCCACCAGGGATCTCGTTTTACATGGACACTGTTATTTCGCGCGTGATAGTGATCAGTTCAGCTTGGCATTCGGGATGATTGATGATTGTGGAATGGCGCGAGCACACCGTTGTCTCCATCGTTTAGCCACATTTGTGGTTCAAGGAGCCCTGGATAGGAGCATAGTCTAGCTGGAGGACACTGAAATGCATTCTCGAGGAAGACCGACTTGCACATACTATGTTGCCGCAGTCTAATCTGACCCGATCTCTTCGATGCAAACAACCGACCTGCCCACTGTAGTTAGCTGAGCACTTGTAGGGTAGCGCTACTGTCCGTGCGTCTGGATGGAACGGCTTCTGGATAGAACGAATGATCGGCATGCGGGTCCCGAATCCACCGGGTGTTTTATCCCGGGAAACTCTCTTTCCTTCCACCCTGGATCGGCCAACTCAATATCTACTTACAACAATTCTCCCCTAATCGTAGGTAACTACAGAGTAGGCTACACCCCGCATCGTGCAGACAGGCCATGGCCCCTTCACTGCAACCCCATGTCACCCCCGACAGCTTCTTCCACACAACCTCGCCGCCACGACCAACCCTACCTACCAATCCACCCCCAGCCCCAATTATAGTCTATTTTATATCCGGAAACCCAGGTCTCATCTCCTACTACTACCCCTTCTTCACCTTCCTATCCGACAAACTCCAATCCCTCAGCAGCAGCAGCAGCGAAGAGAAGAAAGACCACCATCAATTCTACATCCACGGCCACAGCCTAGCAGGCTTCGAAGTCCAGCCTCAGTCTCCCCTTCCCACGCATTACCACAATGTGGAAGACCAGATCCAGTTCATCCAGCACAAGCTCGACTCCTTCGTGCAAGCCACTACGACTACGCAACCATCTACTGCTAGGCGGCCCCGCGTCATCATCATGGGCCATTCCGTGGGCACCTACATCGCCATGGAAGTGATCCGGCGTCATCGCGAACGCCAAACATCTGCCCACTCCAATTCTTCTATTACTGACTTCGACATCATCGGCGGCGTGATGCTCTTCCCGACTGTCATGGATATTGCCAGTTCGCCTTCGGGGAAGAAGTTGACTGTACATCATCTCCTCCCATATCACAGCCCTCACCTTGATAAATCAATACTTACCAACAATATAGACTCTATTATCACTCATCCCCCACCTCGCACTAATCGTCTCCATCTTCGCCCGCATCCTCACCACCTTTCTACCAGACTTCGCCCTCCGTGCACTTATCAAGCTATTCATGGCTGATCCGCCATCCCAGGCTGTCGATACTACCTGCGCTTTTTTGAAGAGTAAGAGGGGCGTGAGGCAGGCTTTGTATGTTGCCCTTAGCTACCCTTCCCCTTCCCCTTCCCCTTCCCCTATCCCCCTAGAAAAGACAACAATTAACGCTCAAATGAAAAAGACACATGGCCGCCGATGAAATGCGCACCATCACGACGGATAAATGGAGTGATGATGTTTGGGGGATAGCTTCCTCCTCTTCCTCTTCCTCCTCCGGAGGAAATGCAGACGACAAGCTGACAGCTTCTCGGATGTTCTTCTACTTCGGACGAAATGATCATTGGGTTGCGGAGAAGACGAGGGAGGAGATTATCCAGGCTAAGGCTACGGCTAAGAGTAGTAGTATGGTGGGCAGGGGGAAGGGAGGGACGGGTCCGACTATGGTGGTTTGTGAGGATGGGTTGCCGCATGCGTTTTGTTTACGTGAGTATTCTTTCTTTTTCCTCTGGTTTTTGATAGGGGGATTTTCCTTCTGCTGTTGGGGTGCAGGTTTGCTAATCTGGTGAATGTGTGTGTATAGGTCATAGTGAAGTTACGGCGGGGAAGGTTGCGGGGATGGTTATGGATATTATTGATGGGTGAGGTAGTTCCAAGGTCTATGTGATGGGGGAATGGTGTAGATATTTAGATGTTTTTTTTTTTTTTTATGTATATTGCTATCATACTGTCAACTAAGCGAAGGATGAATTATGGGTATCTAACGTGTCTAACATCTGGAAGGCGAAACAAAAGACAACGGCAAGTAGCCTCGCGCTATTGACCCCCCTGATACGCTAGTCCAGCCCTCCGGAACAAATCCCCAAGAACATCCTGCTGTGGAGGATTTGGATTTGCGCCTACGCCAGGCATCGCCGCAGCCGGCGGGTGCTGCTGCTGCTGCTGCTGCCACTCGTTCGGCGCAAACTGATGTGCCCGGACACTCCACTCATCATCCTGCGTCCGTTGTTGTCCAAAGAGATCCTTGAGCGAGATCTGCCGACCCATCGGTACACTTGACTGCACCTCTTCTAGCGGAGGGGCGGTCGCCGACGCCACAGCAGCAGCGACATGCAGACCGTTCTGCTGCGCGGCTTCAAAACGTTCGCGCGCGAGCTTCATACTCTGTCCGGCGTGGGTTGCGCATTCACGAATCATTTGGGCGTTGATGGTACGCGTCTCGGCGGTTGAGTTAGGCGGAGGCTCCGAGTAGATCCAGAGACCGTAGATGCGGACATTGGTGCCGTCGTTAGCACCCGGCTTGGTGGATCCGTTCGCGCCATTGATACCATTGCTGTTGTTTGCTCCTACTCCTTCCGTCTCTGGGCTGTAGTCCGATTTCAGGATGATGTAGTCTTCGGTGATTTCGACGTTCTCGCCGTCAGAGAGGAGGAGATCGAAGTTGTTCAGACCTCGTCGGTTGAGGACAAAGACACTGTACCGCTCCTCGCCTAGGGGGCCTTGAGTGAGTTGACAGACGAATAAGGAGCCTTCAATGCCGTTCTTTTCCCATTGTCGGGAGCTTGGGCTGAAGATGTAGACGACGGCGTATTGGGCGAGAGAGAGAATGTTGGTGATGGAGGGGTTATGGCGGCGCAGGACGGAGAGGTTGAGCTCCTCGTTGGAGCGGAGCGGAGGAGGCATAGAAGGTTCTTGGGGATCTTGCAGTTGCTGAGTATCGGAGAGGTAGTTGTGAAAGTCGGAGTCGTAGTCGGAGGGTTGGGCGATGCCTTGGCTGGGATGACGACGGTGGTTGTGATTGTTGTTTGGACGGCGGGGCTTGCGGCCTGTCATTATGCAGGATGCCTGAACTCTAAGAGAAGAAAAGAGGAGAGGATAGGGGAGAAATAAGAGTGAAACTGAGGGAGATAAAGAGGACGGGGAAGAGGGGAAGCTGGAGCTATAGCAAGCTGGAGGAAGAGGGAGAGAAGGAAGATGCAGGATAACGTCGAAGCACAGCTGGTGCTCTGTTCGGGAAGCGGTCGGGACCCCCGCGCGGTCTGGACTCGCCGTGCCAAACGACTGGAACTGTCCTCATCATCACCTCCATCACCACTTCCTCTGCTACGATTCCCTCTCCTTATCATTTCAATTGACCGGTCGGCTCCTCTTGTACATGTCCGCGGCGGATTTGCGATCGGTCGCCCTGCGCTTAGCCTCATCAATCCCGGCGTCATAGTATCCTCCGTCGGGACCCTTGCGTGCATCATCACCTCCCTCCGTTACATCCGATCGGCTTCTGGGATAGCAGGACCTCTACTACCTACAGTACCTCCAACTCGTCCATTACGATAGTCCCAGCAAGGCAGATCATCAACTGCGCGAAAGAAAACCCTCTCCTACCCTCTGCACCGTGTGACTGCCCCTCCAGGTGAATTCTTAGCCGCCGGTCCTCCTACCCCATAAGTCTATACGCACTTAGGGATATATTTATAAAACGTCGAGATAATTTTTCTGGGTCTTCTCGGCGTGCTACAGTCAGCGATTTCCCCAATATGGCTTCGGGCTCAGCGCAGCCCGCATCGCAGCCTTCGTCCTCGAGTGATTCCTCCAGTAGCAACGACCCCTCTCCCGATCCGTCGGTCGATCCCTCTTCGCTCCCGCAGGCTGTAAAGGCAAGGAAGGCTGAATATACCCATCAACAGACGATCCGTGTGAAAGTCGGCACCTGGAATGTCGCTGCCATTCCGGGCACCGAGAATGACATTGGGAAATGGTTCATACAGCGGGAAGGCGTATGCGAGCAAATATCCGGGCTTCGGGTCTCTGACTCGCAAGAGCAAGCTAGTGTGAGGAATAATGAGCCTGGAAATGGTGGAAGCCTAGCCGAGTTTGCGCCGGACAAGATCGGCCTTTACGTCCTGGGGTTACAGGAGATCGTGGATGTCTCGTCGCCTGCGGAGGCCTTGAGACCCTTTGTTGACCCAGCACCGTCGAACCGCTGGAAAGCAGCGGTCCAGAAAGCACTGCCAGAAGGCTATAAGCTTATTGCAGAGACTCAGCTGGTGGGCTTGCTTCAATTGGTATATGCGGCACCTTTCCTCGCCGATCAAGTGTCGTTCGTTAGCTGCACCAGTGTGGGCACGGGCCTGTTGGGATATATGGGCAACAAAGGTGCTGTTACAACTCGATTAATGTTGGGCGAAACGACATGCGTGGTCTTCGTGAACTGTCACTTGGCGGCTGGATCCGACAAGAATAGTCTAGAACGACGGAATTGGGATGCCTCACAAATTGTCGGTCGGACGAAGTTTGAGCCCATCGACCCAAATGTAGCGCTTCGCGAAGAACCCGTCAAGAGCATAGGGAAGGAGGACTTTGCATTTTGGTTTGGAGATCTCAACTATCGCCTGGAGGATATCCCAGGTGGTGACGTGCGACAAGTCCTAGCCCGGCATACAGCAAATGACTACGATGATAGACATCAATCCCAGACTGGACCGAAGGACAGCACTACATCGCTGGAGGGCACGGATGAAGCGCAGAAGCAGGACACAGACAGCCCCCTCCCAGCTGTTTCGGACGAGGATGTGGATCCTCACACCGACCCAGCGTCTCTGCAAACCACCATATCGTCACTACTGCCCCATGACCAGCTTCGAATGCAGCAGGATAAGCGAAAAGCTTTCCATGATGGTTGGCGGGAGGGCCCGATCACTTTCCTACCCACGTACAAGTATGACGTGGGAAGTGTTGCTAGGTTTGACACAAGCGAGAAAAACCGAGGTCCCAGTTGGTGTGATCGGATACTGTATCGGACTCGCCAGGACAGGATGCGATACGAAAGACTGGCCAAAGAAGCTGCGGAAGCCAGAAAACGCGACGAAGAAATGAAAGCCCGGGGCTTGGATAAGGCAGTGGCGGACGATAGCGTCTTGTTTGATTATGACCCCGACGTCGACGGAGCGGACAGTGTGGAGGAATACGATCCAGATAAAGATTCCAACGGTGACGCCTCATTAGATCTGGACGACGATGCGGATAACTCACTGCAGCTTGAGTACTATGTATCGCATCAAGGCATCCTCTCCTCTGATCATAAGCCCTTAGCCGCAGCATTTACGTTGACATACGACTCGGTGGATCCGCAGTTGAAAGCCAAGGTACACCAGGAGGTGGTTCGGGAGCTGGATAAGGCGGAAAACGAATCTCGGCCTGGACTCACAGTTGTGGTGGACCACCATGGCAGTCAACCCACAAGTGAAGACCCCAATGCCGTGAACTTTGGTGACGTCCCCTTCGATGTGCCTGTCACCCGTACACTGACGGTCGCAAACACCAGCGGCGTGCCAGCAACTTTCACCCTAGAAAAGCCGGAGCAAGATGTCTCAAACCACACGCCATCCTGGCTGGACTACCGTATCGACCAACCACATCACTCCGACTCGGAGTCCGGCTCAAACCAGAAACCGCCGTCTCATGAGTGTACCCTGCATCCCGGGGAGATTGCCAACATTGAGGTCACAGCATGCGTTCGAGACATCGAACTGACTCGTTTACTGAACAGCGGGAAACTGAGTCTAGAGGAAATTCTCGTCCTTCGGGTTGCGCAGGGCCGAGATCACTTCATCTCCGCTTACGGCAAATGGCTGCCCACCTGTTTTGGCCGCTCACTACAGGAGCTAACCGTCATGCCTGAATCAGGTGCACGCAGCCTGGTCCCAGCCAAGGCACCCCAAGACCAGAAAGACACCCCAGGCGTGCCTTTGTCGGCCCCTCGGGAACTGTTTCGATTGACCGAGGCCATATCCGAGATATCAGAACGTGCCATTGCCGAGTGGAGCATGACCAGGAGTGAGGCGGAAGAAGATACACCACCATGGATGCGAGAGACCTCTGGGTTCGGATGGCCCTTCGAGCCCGAGTCCTGGACTCTCCGCGATCAAGATGAACGATCCCATCTATTATCGCGTGCTCGCGAAGCACTCGACACCAACAAGGACTTCAACTCAGTGTTTGCCCCAGAGGTAACTTCACTCCAACGTCTCGAAATCCTCAGCGAAACACTTCTCGCATTCCTCGGGTCCCTGAAGGACGGTATTGTCACTGCCGCCGTCTGGCAAGACCTCGACCAACAACTCCTCACTCGCGAAAAAACCAAACAACCCCCCTTATCCTGGGAAGACTCGCAGGCCTGGGTCCTCGAAAGCCTCGCCTTCTCCCCCGTCCACAGCGTCTCCTTCACCTTCGTCACGTTCATGTTAGCCCGCATTGCCAACGAAGTCGCCCCTGCATCCTCCATCCCCAACAACACCAACACCAACACCCGCGGCCCCACGCCCAACCTTCTAATCTCATCATCTGGCAACGAACCCCAACCAAACACAACCACCCAGAAGAACCCACCAGAAGATACACCCCAGCCCGGTCCTGCCCCCGCCGCCTTCATCCGCCGTAAAACACGCACCTTCACCTCATCCATCTCAAGCATAGCAACCGAACAATCCTCACTCAATTCTACCCCCAGTCCAATGGCCATCCGTCGTCAAGCCGTGGAAACCGCTCTGGCATCCATATTCTCATCCGTCCTCATATCATCGGACATTACTGTCCCATCAAAGGAGAAAGATCGGCGTGCGCTAGAGGAAAGGAAACGGGGGATCGTTGAGCCGTTTTTGAAGACGATTGGGGTTGATAATAAGGGGCCTTCCGGGGGTGGTATTTCCTGAGAAAGGAGAGGAGAGGAAAGATGATAGGATTATAGTGGATGGTTGTTGTTTTTGTGTGTTACTACTCGTTATTATATATATATGTAGGTGTGTATGTATATTTATAGAACTTTTCTCTTCGTATCGGACTTCTGTTTCTGGACGGGTTTAGTTTGTTTGTTTATACTAGTCAGTAACGGTAGTAGTTGTGCTGAATGGTTATATTCTACTGTCAGTTTGGGCTGGTGGTAGTAGTTGAATTAGAGGTACACAGATACTAGCTGATGTCATTAGTACGTACTATATAGTATCGGATTAAGTAGATGCGGTCGAAGATTTGGAGACAATAGACTCCAAAACAGCGCATAGTAATTTGCCATTGACTGTCTACAAGCCATCTCGGTCTACTATTATGACTCCAATTCAACCAACAGTTCTCATCTTCGAATAGACGTAGTTAAGACTTATAGTTCCAAAGAGGGCAAATCCAAGGAAACAATAGAAGCGAAAAGGGACCCATAGTCCGTCTTCTATAATCTAGGTATATAGTTATGATCGGCCAGATGCAACGCCGGTTACAAGAATTATTGAATTTCTTTGATCTGACCAAGGGCCCGGGCATCTTTTCGCTCCTCTTCCGAAATTGGCCGTGCTGTCTTCTTCGCCAATCGTGGTTTGCTGTGTGGTGTTTTCTCTTTCGTGGGGTGAGGTATTGGAGAAGATTTTGAGAACAGTATGCCTTTGATATAACGCAAGCAGCTTCTCGACATGTGCAATGGGAGAGTGACAATGGACATGAAGGCCTGCACAGGCAGTAAAAAGGCAGCGTAAATGCCATTGACTATCATAAGAAAAGTTCCCTGTGGCCGTTGAATGCTTGTTCTATGGGCTGTTGCCGCTAAGGAGAAGGCGTCGTGCATCTGGGTTTCCAGGGCTTGGAGACGAGAATCCGTTTGGTAGGCAGAAACGGCGGTCCGTTTTTCATGCCTTCGTACGGCCCGATTCAGCGCATCAATGTCTGCTTGGAAGGTCTTCCGCACTTCTGCAGCCGTTTGCGTGATTGCCGATTGAAACGTTTCCAGATCTTGCGTATGTGGCTGCGCCTGATCCACGGTACTGGCTGACAGACGTGCTGCAGCAGTCTCCGCTACGTGGGCTTCGAGCTCCTCAAGGCGCTTCGCAATATCATGCACATCTATTCTGTCTGATTCGTCTTCCGACGACAATGTGACAACTCGCTGGAGGTGGAGCGTTCGCGCCTGTACCATTCTTAGAAGATGGGAGACGGGCCGGATCTCCGACGCCAGCAGGAATATCGTCAGGTTGTAGTTGGACACGAGTCCTTCCGAAGGGCGCGACAACTTGGATCTGATGGCGTGTAGAATCCATGTCCCAATTACTGGGAATACGAAGCAAGACACAAGAGCTATGATTTCGTGGATCTGTAGCTCCCTACTGGCTGCTGCTGCCGCAGCACTATCACGGAGCTTTTGGCCATCACTCTCAGTGGCTTCTCCTTGGTCTCCCTGCGAGGATTGAGGGCCGTCGGCTTCTGATCGAAATGGCGAATCCGTCGCGTCAAAAAACCTATCTGCATGGCGGATGGCTTGTGCGGAGCGATACCAGTCCCTAGATGGAAATTGGCTTAGCATGTGACGTATGGGGATAGGGAGCGCGTGCCCTTACCACGGCAATCGAACGGACCAATTCAAGAAGACGGCTGCGAGAATTAGAAGGGTGACGTCGGTGACCACGGCACTTCCGTTCTGGAAAAAGATTCCGGCAACCGCAGGCAATAAAGCGAGGCCCAAGGGTGCTGAATGCCAATGTGATTCTTCATTTGTCAGGTTCACGTCATTTCTCTTGGCCGCACGTGGGAAAAGTATGTCGTCTGTGGATGACCGAATTGAGTTCCGCGCCTCAGATACTGTGTCGGACAAGGTGGAATTGCGACGTTGATTTCGCAGGTTGGCGGTACCCTCTGCAAAGGTCGCAGATCGGCCTGCACCGCGGTGACGGAGCGTCATGGACTCTCGGGGATGGACGCGGGGGCTGCGATCCTCGGAGGGAGACAGGGATGGACGAGCAAGCTCTGGCATGACACAACAAGCGCCTGACGTGATCCAGCTCTTTCACGAGTCGCTCATACTCATGAAGAATCTGGACAGTAGATGGCGAAGAGAAGAGAGGGTACGCAAAAGTTGAAGAATGAGGGAGGAAGAGAGAGGGGTGGGAGAATGAGAGTAAGTGAGGTGTGAGAGAGAACCACGGGAGATTTACCCTGTGCGATGCGCAGATCTCCCTTGCTCAGCTCCTACTCAGCTCCCACTTAGTAGTACTACGATCACAGCGACGCAAGCCGGGTCCGCGGGGGCGATCCGCAGCCGGAACCCCAATGACGATCCCTCGGGCGCTATGTTTCCCTGCTAAATGGCCAGGCCGTGCGGAGGAAGTAACCGAAGCCGTGAGGAGTGACGACAAGGGACCCACGCCTGGCAATGTGGTCGCCGGTTGCCGTTCCAAGGCTGCTTGCTGCAGGTGCCTGTTTGCTGCCTGCCCCTTTGCAATGAACTCCCCCCGTACAGAGAGCACGTGGATCGATTTGGCTCTTATAGGATGATCGGACACTAGGCCGGAAAACTAAATATTTATGCACAGGCCCTGGGAGGCTAGCTGAGGGTGATGTCGGTCCCTTTCCTCCAGCCTCATGCCAATGGAGTCGTTCACGCTGGTAACACCCGTTCGCAATCCCAATTCTTGGCAGATGCTTTCTGGAGCCGATGAGAGCCTAGTCTCTATGCTCATACGAATCTCGTGTGATCGCTCTCCTAGTCGTAATGATTGAGATGTAAGATATAGCGCTTCTCGTGATGAGCCTTGAAGGCGCTCAGAAGCACCTACTCGTTTCTATTTCGTCCAGCAAGGGCCATATTAAACGAGAGAAGGAGAAGAGCAGACAGTGGCGCTATCACTAGTGCTGGTTTCTGCAAATGGGTTCCCGTGTTGGTCAGACAGGAGGGATGTGTGTGTTGTGTGTGTGAAACCAGAGGCAGCGCAGGAAGGAAGTGGGCAGGATGGCGCTGAGTCCTTTGATACCCAAAAGGGGAATGGCCGGAGGCAGCCCTGTTCCTGTTCACTGCACCTCCACCAACCCTCATTGCATCGCGCCATTCTTGATTCTCCACCCCAATTCAGAGAGCTGTGTTCTGGTCTATTGGGGCCAATCCATAGGGGAAATTGTCACCCCGAGATCCCTTGACTGGACAACTCCCCTGGCCTGTGCTGCTGGAAGCCGTCGCAGTGTTTCCCAAGATGGCCACGACATATCACAGCACCCTCTCGGTCCTTTTCGGAATTTGCTTCTTCTGTGTCGCTTCAGCTCTTACGAGAAGTGTCTCAATTAGGCCCCACCATCATGTTAAGCTTGCCTCGCATTAACTCTGTCTATTCAGGGTTTGGAACCTCAATAAGAAGGTCGCTGTTGCTCATGCGTCTGTCACTCGCTGTCTGGCTTGTGCTAGACCATCTGGTATTTCAGGATGGCATTTCTCCTCTTGGTAGGATGACGATGGGTAATATCTACCAGTCGTTGTTATTCAATCATCTCTCTCATCTTGAGATTCGGCCATCGCAACGAGAGAGGTATCCAGCAGCAAGGTGCATGATTCGGATTTCAGCAGTTATCAGGCTCATATGCTCTGTTGATACGGACGCCTAATTGATAACGAAGACTCAGAATGGCATCTTCAGTGGCACCGGTCTCTTCGCAGGCGATACTCCTTCCGGTTACTGCATTTGTCTCCGTCCTTCTCAGTATCATTCCTCTAGTCCTGCACTGCAAAAACCGAAATGTTGCAGCGAGCAGCTTGATCTTGTGGTATATCCTACTCAACATCTTCAATATCATCAACGCTCTGATATGGCCCACGGATGACATTGATTCGTGGTGGGACGGCAAGGGACTCTGCGATATTGAGGTTAAAGTCATGATTGCCAGCTATGTTGCTATCCCCGGGACCTTGGTTTGCATTTTTCGCACCCTGGCACAGGTTTTGGACACGAGTCGCGCAAACCTCGTTCCAACCCAGTCGCAACGTTGGTGGAATCATGCAGTGGTCCTTTCGTTCTGTGCAATCGCCCCGGTGGTTGCGATGCTTACGCACTACGTCTATCAGTCAAACAGGTACATTCTGTATGCTATTGCTGGTTGCCTCAATAACTATGACCGGAGCTGGGTGACTCTCGTGCTCGCCTGGATTTGGCCACTTATCATCTGTTTGATGGCTGGATACTACTGCGGTTCGTCTACTGGCGTCTAAGCTCTCCCTTTCCTTGGAATGAAGGCTAACCTTTTACTAGTCATCGTGTTACATCGCCTGACCAAGTACCGAAGCCAATTCGGGGACATTCTTCAATCCGCCAATAGTAACTTGACCAAGTCACGGTTCATGCGGCTGTTCCTGATCGCCTTTATCATGCTGTGGGCTATTATCCCAGTTCAAACATATGTTGTCGCATCGAACATTATCGTCACTCAGCCATGGCATTCATACTCTTGGAGTGTCGCTCACCCGCCTGACTGGAACGAGGTGATCAAGGTTCCTGTGGAGGGCCATGTCTTCTACGACCGTTGGATCCCGGTAGCTTCGGGATATATGTTCTTTATCTTCTTCGGTAGTGGGAGGGATGCATTCGTGATGTACCGTGCGATCTTGGTTTTCCTAGGATTTGGCAACTGCTTTACATCTCTTCAGTCATCCTCAGCAAACGGTTCCTCTGCGTCAGGATCCCTGGGCAGCCGGGCAAAGCTTCTGTTCAATAGAAGATGGACAACCACTGCAAGGTAAGGGAGCCTGTACTCTTACGGATGCGCTACTCGTGTCTAACTCTGAAGCTACTCTAGGGCATACTCCAACAATTCTGCCGATGCAAGCCGATCTGCTCATGATTATCATGATATCGAAAAGGATGCAGTGTCACCAGGCAAGCAATCAAAATGGAGGTCGCGATACGGACTGCGTTGGTTTTTGCGAGGCCGGCCTTCCGCCCCCAATCGGGAAACAGCGATTCCTCTGCGCCATATGGCCGAGCAAACAACCACAGTTCATACCAATGCCTGGGCTGGAGTGAGTCAGAGTCGGGGAAGCAGTGATCATGGCGCCGCGCCACTTTCGGAGGACCATATCCGGGTCAAGCAGGTAATCAAACAGGAGAGCGAGCTGCATGTGTAACAATATCTACCGCTGGGGTGGAAATTCTTTTCAAGCACTGGAAGGTCGTGGGGATTGGGGGCTACAGTGATTTATTTACGACTAATCCCCTTGGCACTCAATAACCTCTACTGTATGCTCTCTTATCACCCTGCTTGAGAGACTGTTATTCAAACCCATCACACTTAACCAGGAGTATCCCTACTTCACGTCAGCTACCGGAACCGCTTAGGCTGATCACACACATCCAGAGTATAGCCGACGATCAATGTATTAATAACTGGTGCTACCAGACAGCTCAACGTGCCAGACACGTAAAACGTGTACTAAGTTTCCGAATACTTGTCTTCTGATATCATTTATTTTTATCAACAACGGCGGATTACGCGACACAGCCATTGCCTAAGCGGATCGTACGCGTCAACTACATGCAGCGGTGCAGCAGATAGAAAAGCCGTAGTACGTAGATAAGTAAGTACGTAGTACGGAGTAGCAGCAGCACCTAATATGGAGTAGACCAGTCAGATTACACACAACTATTTATAGCAACACGAGCCCAAGCAAGCAGACAGACAGACATACGCGCAAAAGTCATGCCGAGAAAAGATAGAGAGCATATCATATGAGGGAAAAAAAATAAAGAAGAAAAATACTTTACATGAGAAGACTGCTAGACATGTTACATATGGCCAAGGAAACTTTGGAAGAACCCAAATGAAAAGAGTTTCTGATGGCAGGCAGGGTGGCCCATGGTGCCCGTTTTCACCGACAATTGAGAAGAAGTCTGCATCGAACACCTGAGACCAGCAAAGGAATAGGGTGAGTCTGACTTCAGGACAGCTGCATCATCCTGCCGCTCGGTATTATTTGAGAATTGCCAACCAACTCTTACAGTATTATCCGATCAAAAGATTTGTTCCCGTTTACTCCTCCTGCTGCTGGTGCTGCTGCTCCTCAGAGAAAGCTTCGGGGTTGTACGGACGCTTGAGAACCTCGAGGGCGCCTGCGGATGAAATTAGGACATATTAGTATTTCCGCAATACAGCATGAGAAAAGTATGTCGTTTGTTTCATCGTATTTAGGTTAAGGGAGGATGACGTACGCTGCGTGATGTTCAGGGCCGTCTGCTTCTTGCCCTCTGCGTTCTCCCACTGGCGCATGGTTGCGTCTCCCTCGACAAAGACGAGAGTTCTGTGATAGAAATAGAGCAAGTTAGCGCAATGGACTTTGAGAATGGGACTTAAACTGCGCATCCGGAGGGAATCAATGGAACAGCAGACACGGATATCTGCAGTTCAAAGAAGGGACTGAAGTTGACGAGCAAGAGAACTTACCCCGTCTGCAAGTTGGTGATGAAATCGCGCTGGTTTCCCTCACTGAAGGCCGACACCTTGAAGAAGCTCGGCGGGCGCTTATCCCTCGAGTTCTGGTTAGAAGCCACGGTGTATCTGATAACTTCCTGGCCAGAAGCGGTGGCCTGCACCTCGGGTTGGCCAGCCAGACGACCCGTGATCATGATACGAGCAATGGAACGCGACGAGGAAGAGCTGAAGGAACGCGTGGACAGGGCGGCGCCGGAGGAGGCGCGGAGGGTAGGGCGCAGCGCAGAGGCAATGGCCGACATGTTGGAATAGTGGGAGAAGGTTTTGGTTCTAGAAAAGAAAAAAATAAGAGCCGTAGATGCACAGTGACAGGAATGCTATAGCGAGGGTATGGCCTGTTTCCGAGTGGAGTTGAGAGTAGCTCTCTCTTCCGCGGCGTCACCGATATATCACGTGAAACTATATCCGCTATACCCCATTGGGCCCTCCACCTTCCATGTTACTCTCTACTAGTAACTCATTATCTATCTTGCACAAGATCCTTGGTTGCAGGTCGGCCGTGCCTTGCCCCTTCCTCTCCCTTGATCAATGACTCCTCATATCTATGCACATTGCGTATTCAGAAGCACCAGTCTCTAGGCTGCTATCTGTTCAATCTTGCTTTGGCAAGCATGAAAAATAACTTTAGGTGATGCTTTGTGTGTTGCAGGTGCATGCATTTATCAATCATAAACTTTGAACCCTGGGAACATTAAGCGAGTCAACCGCTCAGTTACGAGGCAGTTGGCTTCAATGCAGCTGTATCCTGTGAGATGTCATATTGTGGACCCATTGGGGAAGCAGCAAGGCACAGATGCGAGGTTTGGCCGTCAAGAGTGCATGCCTTTTAAGACTTCTACTTGCCCTTGAAACTCTGCTCACCGCACCTACCGTGCATTCTTTATTGGCATGTGCTGGCAGACATTGGATGGGATTCAACTATCCTCCAAAGTTTCCGTCGGATGGTTCGACCACAAACGGCGCATTGCTCGACACCGCTCGACCTCGACGGAAGCCCTTGTTCACACATACTTTGCTTCCCGGCCGCTAAGTTTTAATGCACCTTATTTTAGCCATGGGCCGAGAATCCACTCGCATATATCTACCGTATACTTCCTAGGATCAAGGATTCCGTGTGGCCCCGGACTACTTTGTCAATAGTCACGGAGAACCCCTGGGAAATCAGGCCATGTCGGATATTAGGCTAGCAGCACGGTCCATTGGGAGCACGGCGTTGTCTTTGTCAGAAACCCCAATGAGCATTGTCCTCCGAGCCGGGGGCACGATAGGCTGAAAACTCCGCGATTGAAATTAGATGTGTCGTGACCTGCAGCCGATCACACGAACAGCCTAACTATGGGCGGCTAGTAGTGCTAGTTCTGATCGCCAAATCGCGACGATCGGTCGTCGCGTCCCTGGATCGTTGCAAACCAAGTTACTCCGTAGCCTGCGCTCTATTGAAAATCTTAATCCGGACCATAGACCGCGACAAGGCAGGGCTAGAGCCAATCTTCTCTTACGCTCAATATGTCATCGCCCTTCCGTGGCCAAGTAGGCCAACGCGTTCAGCCGTCCTATTGAAACCCGGCCATCGCACGCTTGCATTCGCTCCTATGCTCTTCCTTCCAGGCTCCCGAGACTTGCCGACATCTGATAAAATTCTGGCCTGTGACATACAATTGACCTATTCCCACTGCTCTCAAAGGGGGGGGCTCACAGTTTCGAACTGATTAAGTAGGTGGATGTGTTTGCGATTGGGGAGACAAAGATTCCTGTCCATTTCGCTGCTCTTTATAGAGGATGATGGATAATCTCTAATCACGATGCATGGAGTACCCCATGCTTATTCGACAACTCCAAAGTCAATGAATTGCAGGGGCGGATCCTTGCCAAATAATTCCATTTACCATGCACAACCATGCGAAGGATATTGCTTTTTTGGGCGACAGGGAGTGGATCAGCCCGCATCTTTCGTGCAGGTAGTCTAGTGCTACCATCGTTATTCTCCTCGAATTGCCGATGAAGCAGACCGTGGCTATCGGACTGGAATGGTTAGGTTTCAAGACTAAAAAAGAAGGAAAAGAAAAAGAAAGGCGGTCATTTTTAGATCACCTCCAACGTGAAGCCTGGGGACTTTTTATTTCTTTTGCTCCCCTACTTTGCTTTCTTTTTCGTAGTCTCCTTTGCCCACCAGTTCCCTCTCCCATTTCGCTCTCCCTCATGGCTACATATAGGTGGTAGAGATGAAATCATTGTACTGTTGAGCAATCCGCCTGAATCACGCCACGCTTCCCCCAATTCCTTTTGCCTATCTCGAGACTTGATCGTGCGAAAATAGGCCTACTCTTACAAGTGTCCGCGGCCTGCATGGGAATTATGTGAAAAAGTGGCCGTTGAGAACACCACAGGCAGCATTCTGAATCCCACTGCCATTGTACGGAGGCACAGACATTGTTTAGTCAGGAACCAGCCTATCGGTAACACTGAGTATCTTGTGCGATTCGTCGTCGATCTAAATTCGCCATGCGATTCTTGCTTGTGTTTGCTCTGCTCGCCTGCCTTGCGCATGGCTTGTTTGTTGCCGCGCAAACTTCAGTTCCCGAACCCCATGAGCTTAACAGTCTTGGAGAAAGAGAGGCCACTGCGAGCACGACAGCTGCCAGTGAAACCTTCAGTGACACAGCATCACCAAGCGTAACAGAATCAGCGATAACGCACAGCAATTCCACAGCGTCGTCGAATGCAACCCTCCCAGCATCCACAACTATAACGTCCTTGAATACGTCTCAAGCATCGCAAGGCAAGGGAACCTGTATTCCAATAACCCATTTATTCCTCTTCGATACTGACCTGAAACAAAGATGGCAAGAACTCGACCAGCCCTAATGCCCTTCCTATCCAGCCCACAGTTACACCTGCTCTGGGAATCGGCGGTTTCATTCTCATTGTCACAGGCGCCATCCTCGCAGTGATCGGCATTCGCAATCTGAGGTTAGTTCTCTATCCTCCATAGGCTTCGATTTCGTGTCTTACAAGTGTTCTAGGGTACAAGTCTTCCTATCCACGGCTTTTCTGACTAGCCTTGGGGTGACGGTATGTTTTCTCATAAGCCTTGATAAGCTAGTCGTCTGATTATCCTCTCCTATAGGTTCTTATTGTTTATGTGATGAGCCCTCCTGTCCGAGTTGCCGTGCAGGGGGCGTACCTCGTTGCCGTATTCTTTACTGGCATTACATTCGGCGCGCTTGCGATCGTTTTCAAGGAATTGACCGAAGGCCTTGGATGCCTACTTGGGGGATTTTGCAGTAGCATGTGGTTGCTTTCCTTGAAACCGGGGGGTCTTCTCACCACTACCGATTCCAAAAGTGGGTTCATCGGTGCAATCTCAGTTGCTTTCTATGCCTTGTCATTCAGTCATCATACACGTCCTTACGGACTGATTGTGTCAACTGGTATTTCCGGGGGCACCGCTGTTGCACTTGGAATCGATTGTTTTAGTCGAGCAGGGTTAAAAGAGTTTTGGCTCTACATATGGGGTAAGTCAGTCTGATCTCGGTCACGAACGAGGGCAAAGCAACTGACACCAGTTCTAGGTCTGAACGACAACATCTTCCCGTTGAATACGAATACGTATCCTATCACCCGTAATATTCGTGTGGAGCTTGCTGCTACAGTTATTATTGCTATCTTGGGTGTGGTCTCACAACTGAGGCTATGGAAAGTGGTTCGTGAACGTCGACGGAAGGAGAAAGAGAAGCGCGATGAAGAGCAGAAGAAGAAGGAAGAAGCCGAGGCCGAACTCGGACGAAAGCTGGAAGAGCAGAATATGCAAGAGCGGAAGGAGTGGGAAGCGAGATATGGTGGTGCCGAACCAGCCGCAGGCGTTTCGGAACTCGGAGATGACACCAAATGTCAGGCAGACGAGATGGATGCTATGGAGAAGGGAGACGTTTACGACATGAAAAGCATAGCTGAGACATCTGAAGGCTCCTACCGCTGTTCCGATTGCAGGGAAAGAGAGGCAAACAGCGATGCTGGGTCAGATGTGACGGGAGCGACTGAAGGTGACTTCGACCACGCCCCGACTGGAACGGCCAAAGAAATATCAGATAACCTGAAGGAGGAAAGTGGCCCACTGCCAATCAAGGTCTTTGACGGTGCAGATGCAGCCAAGATAAAGGACGATAAAAGTTCTGATATGACGGCTGTCATTGGTTCAGATACTGCAACGATCCGCTCAAAGCGACTATCCGGGCCATCGTGCATGCCACGGACGTCTCGAAACGACGAATTGCCCATGTCTCAGTCTCAAGAGGCCCTGGTGTCCGTTGATGATGGCACCTCATCCGTGCACGGCACCGTAGACGAGGGCGGCAACCTGGACTCAGACTGCCCTACTGTTCACGATGATAGCCCTGGACTTACGGATAAAGTTCCAGAGCCGGATGAGAAGCCTCACGTCGATGAGAATGAGCAGCCGCAGGCAAAACCTAACCACCAATCCCATGGCAGAAAGTCACCAATTGATAGAGATGGTGGTGAAAGAAGCACTCCGAACGGAAGCGAAGAATCGCCCACTCCAGCCATCGAAGAGGGACCTGGGAAAGACAAGACCAAAGGGGCCCTCAACGCAGAATCACATACCGCAGCTTCGGAGACCTCATTGACAATGGTCAACAGACAGAGTAATGGAAGTTCTGGACGTGCCTCAGACATCGTCCAAGAAGAAGAAAAGCTCGAAAGACCTTCATCAACCCCCGCTGACTACCAAGGCGAATCAGCTATTGAGGAAGGAAGACAACCGAGAAATGCCACCAAGGACACGGAGACTGCAACAGCTGTTTTGAAAGACCACGAATACGACAAACCCCACTCCGACGGTCCCGAAAAGACCGACATCAGCGATAGCGAAAATAAGAAACCTCATGCAGAAGATCCATCGCTGCCGTCCCCTCAGAGCGGTAACGGAAACAAGAGCAAACGCAAGTCTCCAGAGCCACAGCCCAAAATCGAGCCGGAGCCGATCAAGCTTGAACCTCCCAAGTTGAACGAAGAGACGGTGAAGGAACTGCCAAAGCGGACATCTAAAGTGGTACAATCCTATCGAACGAATGAGTGGGCAAAGCATCTGGCCGACGCCGAAGCCCCTGAGTTGGAACCCATCAAGCCGATCGAAGAAGAACAACCGGAGCATTCCCCTGAGACAGAGGAGTCTGCAGCACCCGTCAACGTTGAAGAACTACTGCAAACACCGTTCAACGCACATCCTCCTCCAGCAGTAGAGCCCCGTGTCCAAGATACACCAAGCAGACGTGAGAGTCGACGGGTCTCCAACAGCTCTCATATAGACCAGAACAAAAAGAAGTCACCCAATTCTCCCCCACCAACCGCACAGCCGCGCTTCAGCAATGGATACCAAACGAATACGCTTCTCGGAAGCCCCGGGCTCACAGAACCACCTCCAGACGAAACCGAGGCTGCTAAACCCCAGTGGCGAGGTCCCGCGCCCCTGATAGCAGTACGAGAGGACATGATGCGAAACAGGCTATCATCATTCTCACTAACCATGGATCCATACTCACGAACCAGTCCCGGACAATTACCCGTTGAAAACCTGCAGCGCTCAGCTTCATACCGAATCCACGACGGGGCAGATGACATGCCGCTATCTCAACGTCGCGCAATGTTATCTCAGCAGCAGCAAACAGTCACAACCCCACTCCCAGTGCACACTCCCTACTCAACTCCCCGGCGAGTTCATTCAACCGGACCTTCCCCGACAAACACACCAGCCGCGATGGCCGCATGGCGGGAATCCGTTCAGGAGGATCTAAGAGATAGGCGTAACCCTCTCGGCAAACAAGGCATCCCTACAGGACCTCAGGACCGAAACAACCCGCCAGCTTATACTCAATCACAACAGCGGACTCCCTCCTCAAGTCATAATATTGGGAATGCAATCGCCGAGGGTATGCAACGAGGCGATATGAGCGAGTTGCATCGCGAAGCCATGCGCCGGATGCAAGCTAAGGCGAATAAAACTGTGAAAGGGGCGTGAATGATCAACCACACTTTCAAACACCAAACCTTGTCCAAGATATCTATCCTATTCGGTTCGACAAATGCCTGTGTGGGGAAATTATGAGCCAAGCAATTGAACGCATCGTTCTCTAAAAGCTCAAGTCGTGCGTCTTTGTTTCGGTTCTGTGTGGACACCGACGGAGGGCATTAGTATATGTACAACTAGTTACTAGTTAGTGACTTTGCCGCTATATCCTCATCTAGAATAATAGTAGTTCAAGTAGATTAGTGATTAATTGACTTCCATTAATTCTCAATTTTCTCACGGATAACCTACTGAGCTACATACTAGTAGTCCTATTAGTACTAATGGGCTGAATTATTTTTATGACTCGATCACAACAACCCAGGTTTGAAAAATCCTGAAACTAACTGAAATTTATAGCAAACGGAAGACATTCTTCTTCCATAAATGTCTCATAGAATTTCAACCGCTTTCTTGATGTTATGCTAGAGATATCATCCATGAAAAGAACATTTAAATAAGATTCGGATACTGACTGAAGCATAAAGGGTATGCTATGTAAGGGTATAGAGAATTCTGGTTCTATTTCAACTTGCGGTGGAATATAAAGCGCCAATTTCAACAGGATTCTGAGACATAGTGGAATCTCGAATCAAACAGTTCCAACCACAAACCCGAAGAAAAGTAGACACGATAAAGGCGTACATGAACCTCAAAACGCCGATGCTGAATGCAGTGGTATAGGAATGAACTGAATAGCCAGAATCACGGTAGGTCTCTTCAAGGTGAAATGAAATCAGATGAGATGAGTGTCGCAGATCGAGCAGATTGCATATGATTCGAAAACAGGGATAAGGAAAGAACAGGAAGAGGATGCGCAGGGCTAAGATATACTGCCGGTCTAGCGAGATCTCCGTTTCTTGTCAGGAGTGAAATCCAACGGTTTGTACGCCAGACCCTTAGCTCCTGTCAGTCGAATTCGTTGCTCTGTTCGAGACAACGTACGGCCAAGTCCGAGATCTGTATCTGGGGCTAGCGAGACTTCATAGCCATTGATGTAGGATGATGATTGGGGGGACTGGCTTCTGGAAAATGCAACAGAAGAGGATAAACTAGCCCCGGGACTGAAGGAAGAGCTTCGGGGTTCGTAGGATGTAGACCACCCATCGAGGAGCTTTGGTCCACTTCTTAATGATTCGGCGGCAATGCGGGCAGCAGATAAAAGCAGCTCATCTTCGTCAACTTGAATCGATTTCGGCGCCTCGGGCTTGGGTTCCACCGGCTTTCTGGCGGTCATTGATTCGATCTGTTCCAGAATCGGAAGCTTTGGTAAAGGTTTCGTAGATGCAAGTGCCATGGACTTCTTCTGCGGAGTGGGCACTTCGGCTTTTTGCAGTTTCTGCGCTTTAGGTCCGCTTTCCACGAGTTTTGGTTCTTCTGGCTCCTCGTGGACTCGCTTACGTCCATTAGACACAGTTTCTCGTCGTCTGTCAGCAGCTCCTTTCAGAGCGGATAACCATGCAGAACGCCGCGAATCATCGTCAGCTTCTGTAAAAAAAATTGATTAGCGGCACGGTAGCAGTACAAAGCTCAAGAGACCAGGGACTGACCGGCAGATGGTTCTTCAATGGGCGTTTCAACAGATACAGGCTCGTGTTCCTTTTCCACCTCAACTGGCTGGGCTGAACGCTCTCCGTCAATAGGGGGCTTCGCTGCCTCCGGTTCCTGTGCAGTCGATGAGTGCAGCGACTCAATGGGAGTGTTATTGTTTGGGAGTGATATGTGCTCTTCTGCGACTGACGGTTCAGGCGAGACCTCTTTCTTGAAAGGAACAGCGGTCTTCTCATCAGAGGGGGTTGATAGTTTCTCTTCGACTGCCGAACTGCCCAGTTGGGTCTGGGACGCGGTGTCGGTTGGCACACGACGCGGCGGGGAGAAGAAAATGCGGGATTGCTCTGAGAAGCAGTTTAGAAATAGATCAAGACAAAAATGAAGCGGGATAAGACATACCTTGCTTCTCCGAGGCAGATGTATTCGTAAATGGCGGTGATGCAGCTGCAAAAGGTTGTGACGTTGTTTGAGGTTGAGGGGGGATAGCGTCAGCAGAAGTTATGCTTTCGTCGGAGAAACCGAAGATCGAGTTAGATGTCCCTGACGCGTACGGACCCTTTGATGTGCTAAAGGGCGTAGGTGTGGGCTGGCCAGCAGCCGCTACGTTGGCTTGGTCGGACTTTGGGGCGAAAGAAACTGTAGGGGTACTGAATGGTGATGTCGGGGCGGTAGTAGAGTTGACGGCATTCGCGAAGTTGAAAGGTGTGGTAGTAGGGAATACGGAAGGCTTTTCTGTGTTTTGTGATGCAACTGGGCTCGGTGCAGGGGCAAAGAGGGTGTTCGGCTGTTGATTTGCGGGCGGAGGTGTGAAGGCTGTGATACTTTCTTTCGGAGGGCTTTTCGATAGGGTGGAGGACTGCATAACATTTGCGAAAGGATTTGAAGGTACACTTGTAGGTACCCCAAAGGCATTGGCTGTGCTACTAGGCGGAAATGGCAACGAGAATGTCTGTTGCTGCGTACCAAAGGGCTGTGATGGTTGTGGAGTCGGATTAGGAGCAAACGCAAAAGCCGGTGGATTCGAAGTTTCAGGCTGCGAAAATCCCGCAAATGCGTTCTGAAGGCTAGATGCAGAGCTCGGCGAATCGCGTGGGCTCTCTTCTTGTGAAGGAGACCCAGCCGTTTTGAAGTTGAACGGTTGAGAGACATTATCATCGTCGCTCACGAAAAGCGAATCATCATTTGTAGTCATAGGCGCGGGCAACGCAGGAATGCGCTCGGACAAATGAGATATATCGACCATTCCGAGATTTGCAGCTTCTTTGATGTTGAGGCCAAGGATGATGGCAGCTAGTGTTCTGCCTGCACGCTTTGACTCAACATGCTGTTCCGAGAATGAATGATCTGACGACGGCTGAAAGGCTGTGTGGCAGTGAACAGTTAGTCGAGTTTAAGTAGTAGTTTCCTATTAGAACTGTCATGGGGAGATAGCAGCCATCCGTGGATGCTGATGCGAACGCCACTTGACGAAATCTCGGAAGCAGAAGCGCTGTCGAAAGCAAAACGTACCGACTGTATCAATTGGACGACTGCCCCAGTTAAGATAAAGATCACCATTGGCGTTCTCGGCAAATTCCAAGCCTTGGTCTTCACAGAATTTGATAGTCTGTTCGTGGTCATCAAAGCAAAGAACTGTCGTCAGCTCGTCAAGAGTCCATTCTTCGTTCTTGTGCTGTTGGGATGCAGGATAGCGACAGTATCCTTTCCAGATGGATCGAATAGCGGTCTGACGCATGTGGTTGAAGTAGATCTCTGCAACGCAGGCTGTGAGATAGGAAACACCCGGCGAATCAATGATGTTGAAGAACCGTGCGTAGAAGCCTTGCGCGATCGCGTTTGGCCGCTTCGCATCGAGAGTACCCTGATACTCCCATGTATTCCCGGCAGCAGCAAACAATTCCAGGGCGATTTGAACCCGGGGTGAGTTCCTCAGCTCCGCGGGCCATTTCTGGACACGAGCCTCCAAATCAGGCCGTTGGTCATGAATCGAAAAGATTATATAGTAGGCCCTGAACTCGTCTTCGTTCGGAAAGGCGATCCGGCCTCTATTGTCATCATAGTAGTACATCAGTGACAACATCGTGTTGTTCAGCTGCTCGCGTTCCTGATGGCGATCAAAAGGCTCATCATTCGCAGGGCTCGACAGCAGATGTAGTGATATGATGTGGAACCGAGCAATTCTCTCCAGGCATGTTACCGCCATCTTCACATGGTCCTCCTGCGTGAGCTGCTGGACAGAGAAATCATTACGGATTGAGCGAGTTCGGTCCCATACGAACTTATGGATAAGTCCAAGAGGCTCGGGCCCATCAATGACGTGCCGTATGAGGTAGTTCATGGTCTGAAGGAGGGTCTTGGGTGTTCGAATGTCTGACGGAAGCTGTTCATCATAGCCGGCTGCGGATCTTCTGAACCGTTTTAGCATCTTCAGTTCCATATTCTGTAGCGAATTCGTTGCGGGATGCAGAAACTAGTCACTTGGGGTCAGTACGATGTTAGCGACAGACTGGATACAACGAGACGTACCTTCTCGCTTTTGTCGACCATCTTCTGAACGATACGTTCCACTCTTTCGAATTCAGGGCACATGCTCGTACACGTGCCTACGGGTGTAATGGCTTGATTCAAGGAAGTCGGTTGATTTGGATCTGCCATCTGCCCTTCCCTAATGGCCTTTTCCCGTTCCTTGGTTCTAGCGAGTTTAAGCTGTTCGACATATGAGTATTGTTTGGAAACCCTTGCGCAATTTATTTATCCGACTATTGCAATCATAACTGACCTGTTCGTAACGCTCGGTATAGCTGCTCATATGCGACAGTTCTTCGACGGGAACGCTGGATCCGTTATTGGAAGGCGAGGGTTGGTGGGAGGGCCCTTGGCTGAAACCCGTACCGAAGCCGACGCCATTGCCATCGAAGTTGGGGGCAGCAAACGGCACCGGCGAGGCCTTTCCAAATCCTGTAGGAGACGCCTTCTGCTGCAATGTCTGGCCGCCAAAGGGCGACGAAGCAGGTGCCGTTTGCTTAAGTTGTGCGAAAGGCGAGGTAATCGGTCCTACAGAACCCGACGGTGAATCTGACTTGTTGCGCCAGGTATTGCTCGCTGAGGCAGCGCCCCTTCCTTGCCCCCGCCCAGACCTTGTTGCTGATGAAGCCCCTCGGCCCCGGCCTCGAAATTTGGTTTCGTGTGACGTATTAGCGGCTTTGGTTTGATAAGGTCGGCCAGATGGTCCACCACGTCCACGTCCTGCTGAACCGGCTGGCCCATTTTTCTGGCCGAGGCCAGCAAAGGGGTTTACAGGGCCGGCCATTTTGCCGTGTTACAGCGGAAACGTGGACGAAACCAAATGTCCTCCAACAGTATGATCTTCAGAGCTCTTGAGTGGGGTCGTGAACAGAGATTCCGAGCGAGATGCGGACAACGAGGTCGTTCGCGAAACGGGCGTAGGTTGATAAATCGTAAAGCTATATAGCGCTATTGTGCAAGACCATTGACACGCGCGTAACGGAGAAGTCAGCTTTTGTAAAGACAGGACGACATTTGAAACAACATGGCGATGATATCATTTAAGTCAAGGAAAATCGCGAAGGCACGAAAACTGTATGAAAAGAAAGCGAAGATGTTGAAAGAAGCGAGAGACGCGAGAGTAAGCAGCGAGTGATGCGGTACCTTTAGAGGTTCGTTGACTGGAACTTGGAGGGCAGCAGTCGATGGATGAGAGAAGATGGAGTACGAGCTCCTGGACTCCCCGACCTCCAAAGGCGTGGAGTATTCCGATACAAAGCGAAGCGCTATCTTATAGGAACCGAGCGACAGCTGAGCGCACGATTGCGAATGCAACAAGCTCAGATGCCGGATAATGCAGGACGGGACAGACCAGCGACGGACTACTGGCTGTTAGTAGTGATGGGAGGAGTGTCATGTCTTCAGTCCACCGCGCGAAGCTCCGATTCATCTGCGGGACAGCGTCAATGCACGCTAAGCCCGTTCAAGCGCAAGCGCCACTGCCGCGCGCCTGATCGGAGCTCCCCTAATTGGTACATTGTTGTCTGGTACTCTGTTGTTATTGCAAACACTCTAATATGTCCAATGTCGGAATTTAACTGACTTTTACTAGATTGTCTTCATTTGAGTTTACGGCTATTCTTACCAAATTGCTTTAAGAACCAAATTGTTGGAAGGAATAGATTGATTTTTTTGAGTCCACAGATAGAAAATCGTCACAAACGCTAAAACGCTGCTGTCACATGCCTCACACACAAAAAATTTCCATAAACTAAAAGACTCGCTGCTCCCATGTAGCACCCACCCACCTGGAATTTTTCTTTTCTCCATAAGCGCCCAAGCGCCCTTGCTTCCCAAAGTCTATTCATCCGCAAACATACAATAAACCCAAAAACATAGATGTGCCTTGAACCCCTGAGAGGTCACCCGCCGTCGGATCTCGTCCACTATCCTCTTGGACGCCTGGAGATCCGCGAGGCATACACTGTCGGATAGTGCTGACCACCGTGAAATATGTATATAAGTATATATGAAACATCCCATAAAGCAGAAGACAAAAGAGAGAAATCAAAAGCAAAGAAGGAAAAAAAAATAATGAAAAGAGGTGTCCACTCAGGCAATGAAAGAGCAGCCACCTCATATCGCACCTGGGAACAAGCACGAGAAGAAGGGAAATGCTTAAGATTCGAAGGATAAAAGCTCATCATGGTCGTACGTGTCGTGAAGTGGAGTTTCCCGCAGACTGTCTGGCTCTCAGACACAATGCGCGACTGCTGAATTCGCCGTTAATCAGCATTGGTGAGAATGAGTGAAGTGTGGATGACTCAAAGAACCCGTACGGTATAGGGGTCCCCTCGAGCCCATCGGCTCCATATACCCATGCTGATCGCGAGTAAAATCGGGCATGCCATGTATCTCCTCAGGGTGGGAAGCAAATCCCAACGGATAGTGCATACGAGGCTCTGGAAGGCCGTGGCTGGCCGCAGATCCATATTCCAAAGGGCTATACAACTCTTCCCTGAAGGATGGAGCCCAGTGGTCATATTGGCTGACGGAGTGCTGCATTGGCACTGCTGCTGCTGCGTGGTGTTCAGCAGTGCTGGCGTCCGGGAAAGGAGCCTGTGTCAGGTATTCGAACGAGGCAGCCTCTTCGATAGGTGTGATCAATCCTTGAGTGGCGGGATCCTCAATAATTGCGCTGGAATAGTTACCGGTGTAGTCGCCCGATGAAGTGAAAAATGTTTGATCCTGTCTCGCTGGCTCTCCAAAATTGTAAGACCCCGGCAAAGGGAAAATCGGATCTTTTCCCTCTCTCAGAGGCATAGTTTGAGGCACTGGCATGTCGCTGGGTTCCTTGACAAATGTCGCTTCTATTTCCTCAACTGAAGGAGTCGGGGTCGCGACCTCTTCCTCCGCTTCTGCTGGCTCCTCTGGCTCAGTCTTTGCCTCGGGTCCAGCGACTGAGTCGGCGTCCTTGTCACCCTTAGGGTGTGCTTCACGATCCATCACGTATACGAGGGTTGAAGCATCTAGCACCAGTTTAGCCTCGACCTTCTTCGAATGATGATTATGAGGGTTGTGAGGGATACTTACCGATTTCACCTCGCTCGTATCTTTCCTCCATTTTTCGTACCTTGAAAATCTCCTCAATAATCGTGAATTTCTCCTGTTCCTTGAGCTGTCTTCTGCAGTCGAATGCGATTTCTAGCAGTTTATCGGCTGTGACTCCAATGCGACCAAGCTTGCGCACGATATGGACCAACAGGTCAACTCTCTCTGTTGTGCCTTGTAAGTATCGATGATCCGTAAGAGAAAACTAGACTAGCCACTTACCCTCCTTTTTCAGATGATCTGGCTCCCTATGCACTACACCAGCCGGCCACCACTCAGGCTTCGTCTTCTCTGGGTCGCCTTTGGTGCCAGGGGGCGCTCCGGGCTTAGGCCTGCCTCCGTTATAGGGATGCCTTACTTGCTTGCGCGGCTCGATGAACTTGATGAATGCCTTTGCAACAACGCGGCAGTTGACCTGCTGGAAGTGTCTCAGAGAAATCGTGTAGTACTGTTCCAATCGATCGGTATCACCGACTTCAAGTGCAATCCGGTTTACTGCAGCGCCGGACGGCGAACTTGGGAATTCGGAACGAGGGTTTTGCGTAACTGGAACGGGACTTTCAACGTGGAGTCTACGTCTCTTACCATGGCGGTGGCAAGACGCATCGTCGGGGCGGTCATAGCTCAGTGCAGCGGGGTTGATGCCTAAGTTTACTCAAAGTTAGCTATGTTATATACCAGCCCTATGGAATGAATGTACTTACTCTGAAGTAGGGGCTTCTGATATCCGACTCTTGCTCCAAGGATTTCCAGGAAGTTTTCTCGCACTTCGGATGTGAAGATAGTGGCGTGATTGTCACGGATCGATGGCGACTCCGACACGCGGAGCCTACCCATGTGGTCCAAGTATATCAAAGCATAGTGTGCGTAGGGCAGATTGATCGATGTACGCGGTGGGGGTAGCATAGTCTTTGATCGGCTAGGATTAGTAAACGAATACCACATTGTATTTTGTTACTCACAGGAGCAGTCTCCCATCCAATACCGTCGCCTTTCATGGCGGACGAGGGTCTTTTCCCAAGCCCTGTCCTCGGAAGAGGAGAGTTGAATACCATAGTGGCCCTAGGGCAGAAACCTGCACAAATGTCGGGGGTATGTATCGAGGTTGATGCGTTTGGAGACGAACCGGCTCTTAAGCACGATTTCAAAATGGGTAGGAAGAGTCAAGCTTATGACTCTGCAGGATGAAACAATAAGTCTCCGGAAGGTGGCGGGGAATGTGCTCGATTTGTAGGCGTTTCCCGAGTCTGGTGATTAAGTGTATGGGTCAAGGAGCTGCTGCAATGCCCCAGATATAGCAATTATGGTGCACTGTCAACGTCTGCCAGCTAGTTAGAGTTTGTATTTCTTTAAGGACCAGCCGTTGAGGTGGTCTATTGGAAGGAAACAAGCATGCATTTCCCAACCACTGTTAGAGGCAGTTGTGTGCTAGACAGGAAGTACTATCACGCAAGCATCCTCCATGCTAGGGACATGTTGGGAAAGGGTTGCATAGCAAGCAGCTACTACTCACCTAGCCGCAAGATCAAACACCACCGGATGGCTGGCAAACAGTAACTGAACGTTCTATTGGTATAGTAGCGTGCAGGGAATCTGCTAACAACCGGTACTGGTGCACTAGATAGTCGATCGAGACCCGGTACTCCCGTGAGGAACGATGATCACCCAAAGTACTTCTGCCGTTGCGCCGAGATAGTGTGAAGAAGGACGGTGACACAAAGATGTGGATGTGGATGTATGTTAGGTAGTACAAGGTGCCGAAGAGGATATAGTTAAGGCCGACTACTGATAGTAACGGAAACGGTTGAGATGTGAAGCAAGCGAGGCCAGAACTATGCAGATCCGATCACGAATGAGAGAGAGGAGAGTGATGGAGGAAAAGTGAAGTCAGGAACAGGCAAAGGATCTGGATCTTGAGGCCCTTAAGTATAGAGAGGAGAGGAAGAACGGAAAAGGACTGGACTTTTTGACGACTGGGGACGTCTCAGGTTTTCCAGCCTGTCTGCTGTCTGCTAGATAGTAGTAACTGATGGATCGAGATTGCATCTGAACAAAAGAACCCAAATCCACTTTCGCAGTGCATCGGGGGGGCCCCTCCCCTCCCTTCGGGCCATCATCCTCTCGATCCCGATTTGGCATCGCACTGGGGACGTGTGGTGGGATCCCAGCAGCATGGATAATCCTTGAATGTATCAAGCCGAAACACTAACGGACAGCTGCTACTCTAGAAAAGCATGGATAGAATCTATTTTACCCATATGCCGCTGTGTCTTTTTGGTAAGGCCGTGCAGTAGTAGGGGGAAAATACTGCCCTCTTTTTTTTCCTGTTGTGGTTGATTTTATTTTATTTTATTTTATTATTATTTATTTTTTCTTTCGGTTATAATAGAATATTTTATTATTATCGTCACTTATTTTAATTTATTCCTGGATTTTATTTTTATTTTTATTTTTCCCCCTCCGCATATTGTATTTTCCCGTTTGAGAAATGTTTTATTTCTTGATTTCTTTTTTCCATCGGCTGGGACATACCTCTTTACCCTCATTTTCCATCATTATCGTCCCGGCACAAAATAAAATTGATGAAATAACTAAGATGGCATTTCCCACCCGTCCCACCTCACGGAAATGACCATCATCATATTGACAAAGCATTTCGATTCTTCTGAAGATAAACATCATTTAAAGCACGTACTTTAACTAACTACCCCGACCACTTACCTGACTAATACTATCTGTAGATCGACCACTCCGTCGGGGCTGTGGCAGCTGGCCCAGGGCTTTGTTCGGAGCGGGCCACTCACAAGGACACCCGGTGGCGCATCGATAATTTGATTGAACTCCACAACCGAGAGAACTACGAAACTGAGGAAGCTTGAGGTTCGTGCGAACTGACTCCAAGGTTACTAAAAGATATCTTCAGTTGCGCAAGTAATACTACTTACCACTACTACACAATCCCCACCAGTCGTCCTCTTGAGCGGGTTGATGATCATCGAGGTTCGCTAGTGCTGGGGCAGCTGGCGGGAGGAGGAGGGGGACCGAGAATTACTTACCCACCACTATGGAGTACTACTTACTAGATGGTACTATTAGGTTACGGAAGGCGTATTCATACCATGGGCTTGGGCTGAAAGTACTAACGGAGTACACTGTCCGAATAAGGGAAGAAGAACGGGGAGGGACTAGGGGAGAGCCTGCCAACCCTCACTCCGATCTTTCATGACTATCTGTTTAAAACGACTTGTGCTAGCAGGAATAATGATAACTTAGCCCGTTCACTAGCGTTGAAGTTGGCTCAGGAGAACTCCAACCGCCACCCAAAAGACCTGAATGACTTAGTATCAATCGGATACTCTGACAGTGTACACTGTAACAGTAAATAGCTGCCGTAAGTAAAGTACTTACTTTCAGGGATGGCGTTCCCGGCAGGCCGATTCAGCGCGGGACTTTTGGCACTCGCAACTGGCTGTCATGATTGGCAGATCTCACACCCACCAAACTGGAACCGGTTTTCTTTCGCCAGCGACACGCGCTTCCCGTCATTTCAGTCCATGTACAGAGTACGAAAATTGGACGTTTCTGTAAACAACCCAGTATTTACCATTTAAACCTCGGGAAACGTCTGCACTTGTCTCTCATCCATCCCTGGTTGCAGAGTTGTATGAAGAATATCCAACTGCTGTGGTAACAGTGGCAAGGACTCATTGGTACAATGAAGTGTCCATCGCCAACACAGTGATTTTGAAACCACAGTTGGCGCAAAGTGTATGGAATATGGAATCCATACCCCTGTACATAGGTAGTAACATGCGATACGGGCCATATTCGGCTCTAATGTAAATCACGGAAAACGCCCCTAATTAACCATTCTCCTCGAACGGCCTGCATATTCTGTATGACAAGAACGTATTTGAGATAGGACTCAGCGGATACTGAGGGTGGGAAAAAAAAAAAAAAAAAACACAAGGAATCCCGATTACGCACAGGCCGCGCATATCGTCAGGGCCGTTCCACCCAGCTCGCGCTTGGGCCAGACAGCAGGAGATCATCTGAAGCACGGGAGTATACGGCGTAACCTAGATACGGAGCCCATACTTATCCATTGATTCTCTAGATGAACACCATGTATGACCTGAATTCTCGGTAAGACTGATGAAGTCGAAGCGAGTGTCCGATAAGATTGTACGAATCCACAAGTTAGTAACCATTCCTGTCAGCCATGGACATCATATCCGCGCGGCACCGTCGACCTCCTCTTCTTAGGGTCATCAGCAGGACTTCCAGGAGAATTTCGCTACCGATGTACTCCGCACATGTGTAACAACCTTCACAAGTGCGCTCATTTATGCGCATCTGAAACATTTGATCATGACTGCAACTGAGAGTACTTCTTTGAAGTGGTGATCGATATCGGACTCGCCGAGTTGCCGCCACCACCAGCTGACTGCCCTTTGTGCAGAAAGATATGCACCGGATGCATATAGGTCCTCATACTAGGCTGGTTGATCCAAAGATACCAAGTCCGGAGGACGACGTCACATGAGTTGTATTTCCATGCCAGGGTCATCATTGTCACGGACTGAAGCTCTCGCTTGTCCTTGTTTGATTCAATTTAAAATGAAAGCCACGCCCATTATGGATTATTCTGGTCCACCATGTGTACATGGAGAAGTATGGTAATGTGAAAAACACAGTCTGGCAGACCAATATGACACGATACACAGAGCAATGAGGCAAAAAAATTACACCAGTTACATGTACTGACAAATTACGATAGACGAAAATTGCGAAGAATCAAATAGCGGATCTAGAGAGATGTGCCCCGAACTAGTGCCGGTGGCAGGTGGACCAATAGCAGGCTACGGATACTATCCGTACCAGGACGATCTACCGTCTGGAGGAGCTTTGGCTTGCGCATGGCCCAAGGGACTGGAGACGGAAGAATGAGCTAACTTGAGACAGTACGAAGTAGTAGTGCTTTGAGGGGGTGAAAGGGTGGATGGCTGTTAGTAGAGGAGCTTTCCCGAGCCGTCAGGATGTAAGGCAAAAGGTTCGGGGAACCTAAGTACTTAGTTCCTACTGATGTGGGCTGTCGGGGTATACTACTACAGCAGAAGTAGAGGAAAGCAATATAACTATAACGCCTAGTGTGCAAGTACCTGTCGTAAATAATCTCCGATTGCTGGGGTAGATGGGGACCACAATGACAAAAGTATTTGGAATTCAAGAGTAGCTTAATGCTTTAGCACCGCACAAGCACCACAGTACCCAGAGGATAGCCATTGGATGCTTAGTATGGTATACCATGATTCCACATCAATCTATAGAGACCCTCTATCATACAATTAAATCTTTCCTTTCCTCCATTGGCTTTCGATCATTTTTGCCGCGAGCTATGTTAGTAACACGCCACCACTTTACCGGACAAAGAAAGCAGCCATAGCAGAAACAACAAACCAGATGGGCTGTGCAAGTACCTCCCGGAGCGAAGACTTTCTTCCTCCCTAAAGTAAGTACGGTGTACATTAAGCGAATGTTCGGGCTGCTGATCTAACTTTCTATCTGCGACGCTCCCGCGCCCAGGTACCTGAACCGTGGAATTGGCGACGATGATAAGAGGACCCGATATAGTGGCTTCACGTCAGATCAGAGACCCAAACCCCCTATTAGGGCCAATCCAAGACCACGTCCACCCGAGACTTTAATCTAACTAATGGCGGGCGGTACTTTGCTACGGGGTTAAGATTGTCGTTCGTCTGTGCACTTTCCCTTCTGGGAAATCAGCAGTGTCAATGCTGACAAGAACAATGTCTAGTCGTGCGGAGTACCTCTAGATCACGGTCAGTCAGTCAGTCAAGCAAAATCAAACAAACGCCTCGTGTAGCGTCCAATCAGTCTACGAAAGTACCTTCCCTTTGGTTACGATGATTGTCTTCTCTTCAGCACCTAAGTTGACACTAATTCAGAACCATGACGGTCACTTACGTACAGAATT